TATATATATTATATAGGATAGGATGGGAAAAGGGAAGGTGGGGAAAGGGAAGGTGGGGAAAGTGCAGCGTATGTGTGTGTGTGAAGGTGCGGAAGGGAAGGTGGGGAAGTGGAAGGTGGGGAACGGAAGGTGTATACATTAAATGGGCCTGGTCAGCGTCGTTGGGATTGTCGTTTTCTCCAAAGTCGGTGTTCATCTGACTGAGAAACAAGGAACCAACAGTCTGCACACAACTATGTCAGATCTGTTAAATAGGTCATAGACTGTGTAACTGTATTACAGGGCTGAACAAGATCTCTGGGATTTCTAAGGTGGGGGGAAGGGAAGGTTATTCCTAGGGAAGGTGGGGCAGGAAAGGATGGGGGAAAAGGTAGGGAAAGGGAAGGTGGGGGAAGGGTTTTACTAAGAAATGTTTGGGAAACACTGCTTTAACCTATTCTGTGCAATATTTGTTTTGTTTCGCTGTACTCTAATGTACACTCTTTTTAAATCTTCTGCTTCTTTGTTGTATATCCATCTTCTCTGTGTGTCTCCCCCCCCCCCCCCCCTTTTTTTTCCCTCTCGGCCAATTGTGGGGAAAACAAGAATAGATCAACTGCCTGCCCAAATATTCAAAATTGGGAGCTTTCTTCAATGTCGGAGTACATTTACCTGAGAGGCGAGGATTTAGACTTGGATAAAGATAACACAAATGTCAAGCTTAGGCCTCTTTCGGCCCCCCGAAGGCCTGCTTTATTGAGGACGGTTTCTTTGCTGTCTGATTTTCGTTTGTTTATTTTGCGGCGATGATTTTCGCCTGAGTTTCATCGTGTCAGCGGCATAGGCTTGGCGGGAAGTTTCCAGTTTTTTTGGGGGAATTGGAAATGGCAGCCCTGAAAAGGACTGCCATATTAGCCTGGGGCGGCCTGGTACGGGAAGGGTGGGATTTTCTGATGGCTGCTCGGGTTTTGGGCTTCTGCTTCGTTAATTGCTTCGGCGTCCTCCTCGTCTGTTTCGCTTGTTGTGATTGGGCGAAGAACAAATTTGTGCATTCAAATGAGTCAGATCTGTGAACGAATGTGCACTCAACACTCAGTTTCTGAAACAGGACTAGAGTCCAGAAGTGAACGAACAACCAGAACTTTCCGCTAGAGTTGACAGCTGGTAAACGCGAAGAAGAAGAAGATATCCCTCTCGTGGTACTTTTTGGTTTCTCTCATAGACGTTAATTTCAGGGTTTGTTATCTACTTCTACTTCTTTTTCTTCTTCTCTAAATCTCCCCTTGCTGTAAACTTCTGCGGGAAGTGCTGGTTGGACTTTTGTTTTGTTCCAGAACTTGATTTTAGCGTGCACTTCGAATCTGGTTTATTTGCATGCAGACAGTCAGTTCCCCCCTTCCCAGGCTTATGCATTCCAACAGAAGAAAAATGCCTAATTAATCGCCTGATACGACATGCTTGTTGGGGGAAGGCGGCAGTGATTCTATTCTGTTATTGCTAAAAAACGGTCTCTTTTGTAACTCCTTGTTTCCGCCCCCCCCCCCCCCCCCCCCCCCCCCACCCGGGCCGCCCCCCCCCCCGCCTCCAATACATTTGTTTCCTATTTCAGTGCATATTTAGTGGATCTGTGCTTGCTTCTTCTTGGTATGTGTTTAGTATGTTTAGTATGTTATGTCTTATAACTTGTTATAGAACGTGTTTGCCCAGACATTTATCTTGTGTGTGTTGGGGGGGGGGGGGGGCATGTTATGAGAAGGAGCGAGCTCGATTTGTAAGATTAACGGAGAAAGGGCAAGGGAAAGCGAGATATGAATATCCTTATAGCTTAGCCACATGATCGGGGCCAGAGAAGATCATTGACCTGCTCCATGGATCTGGCGATCATGTGGTAATGCCATTCTCAGCGATCCTCCCCCCCCCCTCTCCTCCCCTTCTTTGCCTTCCTGTGCCTTCTGTGCATGTTTAAATGTATATTACAATTAAGAGTAGAAAGGATCCACTTCGATTGCACTTACTTGAATCCTACATGGGACTCGGGTCTCCCTCCATAGACCCCCCCCCCCCCACCCCCCCCCCCCCCCCCCCCCCCCCCCCCCCCCCCCCCCCACCCCCCCCCCCCCCCCCCCACCACTCCCCACCCCCCCCTCCACCCCCCCCCCCCCCCCCCCCCCCCCCCCTAGTTGCCTGCCCTAGGATCCCCCCCCCCCCCCCCCCCCCCCCCCCCCCCCCCCCCCCCCCCCCCCCCCCCCCCCCCCCCCCCCCCCCCCCCCCCCCCCCCCCCCCCCCCCCCCCCCCCCCCCCCCCCCCCCCCCCCCCCCCCCCCCCCCCCCCCCCCCCCCCCCCCCCCCCCCCCCCCCCCCACAGAGCTTAAACATGTCCAAATGGACGAACACCAGGACTTTCGGCGAATCTTACAGAAAGAAGAAGCACCAGTTAATGAAGTGGCTCAGTCCATAAAATGGACCCACATCCACTTTCCGTCACATCCACTTTCCGTCACAACCACTTTCCATCACATCCACTTTCCGTCACAACCACTTTCCATCACAACCACTTTCCATCACAACCACTTTCCGTCACAACCACTTTCCATCACAACCATTTTCCATCACAACCACTTTCCATCAGATGGGGAATCCTTCACGCCGTCGAAATATTATGTATGTGTGTGTGTGTGTGTGTGTGTGTGTGTGTGTGTGTGTGTGTGTGTGTGTTTTGTGTGTGTGTGTGTGGTGGAAAAGTAGAAAGATAGGACACACCAGACAGAGTAAAATTCGATAGTCATATTTACCATACCGAGAATCCAACCTGTTCCCCCCCCCCCCAGATGACGACAGTGCCTCACTGCAGAAACAAGTATACTAAAGCTCATAATCAGCTTAGCACCTATAAAATGTGCCTTCGTTGGCCATGTCGGTACTATCATTTTTGTTCACCCCAACTCGGGGAATCTGAGAGTTTCCCAGGCAAAGTCCAGTTTCGTGGTTGGGGGTGGCTGGGGAGGGGGAATCAGAATATCAGCAAAGATAAGAAATGTGGAGGAGTATTTATAGACATGAAAAAGGCCTTTGACATGATAGTCCACACTATTCTTATCAGAAAGCGCGCATAGACACAATAGAAGCGAGTTTCATCCTATTAACATTACTAAAATCTCTTTTGTTTAATAGAAAACAAGTCGTTTTACATAATAAATCTATATCACATACTACTACTTTGAATACTGGAGTTACCCAGGGTTCTGTTCTTTTCCCCCTCTTATTTGCAATTCACATAAATGATCTGCCCTTATGTCTGTCGTTGTCACGCGATTTATTCGCTGATAACTGTATCATTTATACTAATTCTCACACTTGTAATGTTCTAGAGTTTCTTTGCAACGAGAATTAAACAATTTAAGCCGTATGCAAATCAACCTAAGTAAGACAAAATCTATGTTAATAACAACAAAAACTGTGCACTTTAAATTCACATATAACCATGCAACTCTACTCGGTAACACCCCAGTAGAAAGTGTAGAAAGTGTATCTGAGCACTAAGCTTTCGGTCTGGTCATCGATGGAAATCTTACCTTCAACTCGTACGTGCAAACACGTGTTAAGCAAACTGCTATAAAGTATACCAACTAGTAAAAATTAAAAACTGTGTGGATGAAAACACTAGTAAATTATTCTATACTTCTTATATTCAGACCCATATAGACTATTCCTCCACAATATGGCATGGATGTGCAAATTCAGTCATCAAACGACTAAAAGCATTTCAAAGAAGGGTTGTGCGTTTAATATATAATAATCAGGGAAGCGACTTTTCGCACCTATATAAAGAACTTGTGATATTACCGCTCTAGGAACGCCTACCATTCAATCAAGCTAAACTTATTCATAAAATCATATACACAAATTCTCCGTGTTACCTTTGGCCATATTTAAATACAATGGGAGGCATAGCAAACGCCTTAACGTATTGCATATCTCTAAATCTAGAATAAACCTATACGAAAAAAGCTTAGCGTACTCTACAGCCTAGCTGTGGAATCATCTTTCACGGAAAATCAAAAATGTCACCTACCCCTATACGTACAATCGGAAACTATTTGAATATTATCTCACGACAGACTATATGCCCTTTAAGTGATTATACTATGTATTTTTCAGTCAGATGTCTCCCCCCCCCCCCCCCCCCCCCCACCTCCCCCCACCTCCCCCCACCTCCCCCCTCCGCCACACACAAAAAACTGAAGTTTATCATTGTTTTCACATGAAGATGCCAGTGGAACGAGTTCCAGCGTTTGCAACTAACATTTAATTGATATTGGTGATGTTTATATTATTCAACCTATTAGACCTATATCATTTTTGGATTAGGCTTCTTACTATACTTTTCAAAACGTTGATTAATGTAAGTATAATTAGAGAACATTCCAGCGTTTGTAATTAAGACTTGGCTGTTGGGAAAAACAAATTTCAATTTTTTTTGTTTTTTGTTTTTTTGTAATAACTATGAAATGAGGTACGAAAGAATAACTGTAGGCAAGAAAAGTAGAGGATGGACAGAATGATAGACGGGCCTGCGTACCCAGTTCCTAACCCTTTAAATATGAAGTTCGTTTGTTGGTTTGTTCGTTCTTGACGTATCACTGCGACAGAATGAAGAGCTAAACTTAGCATCATGTCAGAGAGAGAGAAGAGAGAGAGAGAGAGAGAGAGAGAGAGAGAGAGAGAGAGAGAGAGAGAGAGAGAGAGAGAGAGTTCCTGTTTGTTATCTCTGCGACCTACATCACGAAGCTAATGGACCCCGGCTCAGAACTGCACCGGCTGACCTATGTGTATGGATTCAACCTAACAACCAAAAGTTGTGTAACTCTAACTCAAGTCTTCATAACGGATCACATGCTCTACGCGATTCTGTGGCTGTGGTTTGATGTCAGCTCGTTGTTGCCTTTAAAGATCGTGAAGTACTGATGGCTTTCTGTGCGACTCTGGCTACTCTATGTTGTTGGTTAGCTCAATCTCTTTGAAATGTCTAAAGCACTGGTGATTGTCTGCCCGATTCGTTGGCTACGGTAGGTTGTTAGCTAGAAATCCTCCCAGCCAACTCTATGCATGTACTGTTGAGTCTGAGAAGATTATTGTAAACGTTCCAGTTAACACAGAGTTGTCGGCAATCACTGCTAAAGCTGTAAAACCACACTCTTGAATCATTTCCAAATCAGAAAGCCTACACTGTTTAAATGTTAAGTATCCAGAAATACTAACAGAGACTTTCTGACAAATCGGTAGCATGCAGGAGATTTTATGAAAACAGTGTATTGTAGAACCGCCCGCAAATGTGCAACTACTTACTACTGTAGCACACACCGTATTTTTTATACAAGCCTTTTAATTCTCTTTAATCTGACACTGCAGAGTTTGGTACTTTATTAATATCCTACCTCATATGACGTCACAGGAAAGTCTAACGTTTTAGAGGTTAGTAAGACTGGGTTTTCCCGGCTTTGTGATGCTTGCAACGATCCCAAAACATCTTGAACTGGGCCTAACTCTAACCCACCTACGTCCCACAAGAGAGTGCAGCCTAGGTCCCACGACTGCATGCAGCTATTCTAACAGCCCCTGGCTGTTGTGTGGTTTTTCTAGGCAAATTTACATCCAGTAGTTTGAGCTATTCTACCAGCACCTGAAATATAAGACTGTCCTGTGACCTGTGGATTTCTCCTGTTTGGGGCAGGATATTAATAAAGCACCAGAGTTTTGAGTTTGTGTATAATATCAACTTCACAATTTCCACAAATTCACTTATGGGTCTGTAGTTCAATTTACATCCATGGATGCAGCACTTTCTGTGCATTTTAAAAATCAGACTACAGAACACACCACAACACCGGTGAGAAGACAACACCGGTTAGAAAAAATTACCACCTTCTATGACGTCACGAACACCTGTTTTGCCTGTCTATTTAATGACGGCTGTCCCTAATGAGGGTCTCTGGTTGGTCATGCGCCTTGGTACACTTGTCCTGCAGCAAGGCGCTGTAGTCATTTGCAGGCGACAGGTTAAATTCTCAGCATGGTAACTATAGCTTGCGATTTTGATGTTGTCTAGTGTGTTTCTTTTCTATCTTTCTATGAGTGCCAATCAATAAATGTTTGTTGGTTAATTATACATAGAGGTTGTTAGCCAGCTAGTCGAATTTCCTGTAGAAGAAATCAAGTTCACGACCTTTTCACCCGATTCTTTGGCTACGACAGTTTATTAACTAGTAAACTGCACTTCCAATTAAGGGTAGGAGGAAGCACTGAAGAACTTCTACCATATTCTTTGGTTCCAGTTTGTTGTTTGCTAGTTAATTGTATTTCCTTTATTTTGGGTAAAGCACTGGAGACGTTTATAGCTTTCAATTTGAAGGAAACATCCTTTCAAACAGTCGACTTTTGCATACATGCTTGTTGAGTGTAGATTTCGGGAACAACGTGTGCATTATTCCCCCACCACATTCACAAAGACAGTGGTGATCTCGGAACCCCCACGGGTACTTTCGCTTCTCAAAACTGCTTGGCTTCATCTTTAAAAACAAAAGTTAATTTAAAAAAATTCCCAAGCGGGGAATCGAACCCAGGCCGCCGCGGTGAGAGCGCGGAATCCTAGCCACTAGACCACTTGGGATGTTACCTCCTGAGGTTGAAATAGCCGCCCATTGCTGCAGCCATCGATTTCGTCGCTTCAGTGTTAATCTTTTTCTTTCTCTTTTGTACAACGGATCAACATCATGGCCCAAGGGTAGTAACCCGAAAGTGATCCGTTCTACTTATAACTCAAATCTGAGTCCGAAGAATCCTTACGTCCTTTTTAGGGCGTAATTTTTTGTTATTTGAAGCCCCACTCTGGCTTTTGCCAGGGGCCGCAATATAGGCAAGCTATAAATATGGCCAATTGTCTGAACGCGGTTTCTGGGACCTCTCCACGGTGATCTCATCCACATGGTGGCACTTTGTGTCAATGGGTGTTTATCGCTTCTGTGATGTCCTAGTGGGGTAGAAAGTCAGTCCGAAGAATCTCAGTGAAGTACACGAACTCAATAGCACCGGCAAGGATCCTGAAATACTTTAGGTAGATTTTTAACCTCAAATTTTGCGCGGGCAGCGCCGTTAGGCTACTCTTTTCGATTTCTCCAACTGCAAAGGGATTTTCTTACGTGCGCAACAATACACACGGGTGTCCGATCTTACTATCTAGAGACCTAGAGAAATTACTAGAAGTCCATGTGGGGAAAAAAAAGCCCAACCCTCACCAGGGCCTCATGAAAATGAATTCTGATATACCTGCCAAAACAGCTCTCACGTGGAGACCAGAGGGAAAGAGAAAACAGGGGCGCCCAAAAACAACATGGAGACGAAAGATTGAAAGTGACCTGAGTGCGGCATCTTTGACACGGAAAACTGCACTGAAGATTGCACAGGACAAGAAAGGATGGAAAGTCCTCTCTGAAGCCTCATGTGCCACTAGGCATAACGAGAACTGATCACCATGGTCTAAACTTGGGACCTACAGCACTCAAGGCGGAAGCCTTGCCACGAAACCACTCAGCCCCCTCTCTTAGCGGTGCTGAACAACTCCTGGTGGTACAACACTAGGACCGTGCTCACACAGATCCAATTTTTTTTTTACAGCCGCGGCTTACAAAAACCGTAACATTGTTTCACGGCCCACCTGACATCTAACTAAACACAGAAACAGGATCAAATGCAGATGGCAGCTAGTGTGCTATTGTTATTATTATTTTTCATTATTATTTTTTTTTCTAATAGCTCACTTATTAATCTTCAAAATAATAATTAATTTTGAAAAAGTGTTGAAAATTAATTAAACAAGTTTAATGTGTGCAAAAATCTGCTCGATAAACACAGTGAACACACACCGGCCCCTCTGAGTTGCACAAAAAAGGGAATTTCCATTGACCTGGATTGCCTTATGAAAAGCTATAGTGGGTCGTGGGTTAATCTTACAGACTGCAGTCTCGGAAAAGAAAAGCTACCTGCCTATCTCATTATATAATAAGCCAGACATTTTTGGCGGGCCCAGTAGGATTTTTCTACAGCCCACAAGTGGGCCGCAGCCCACGAGTTGAATAACATTGATCTAGATCTCTCCGCGGTCATACTGGAAACATATTTCCCAGCTGTTATAGTTTATTATATTTTCCTATAAGTTATTTATAAAATTATAAGCTATAGACAGACAATTCCTCTTAGTTATGTGTAACATTTCTGTCAGTTTAATTTATGACATTTTCACACTAATGAGGTCAATAGCTGTATCTTTTCCCAACATAACGTTCCAGTATGAACAGTTCAGCAAGTGGAACAAAAAGAATACACACGGGTAGGTGACACATATAACATTTGATAGAATCAGTTTTTTAGCGTGTAGTAAGCACAGGTACACAGTACCGTCACCTTTTAAGGCTTCATATTGTTCCAGCTCAAATGTACTAGGCACTTTGTGGTGAGTACCGAACGAACGAACGAACAAACTTTATTTTGAAAGGGTTAAATAAGAATTGGGCACACAGGCCTGTCTTACATACCACCCTTTTTGCCTCACTATATGCATAAATTATTCATTCACATCTTAGTAACAGTGTGTTCTAAGCATGCCTACATTTTAAAACAATTATAATACTAAGTATAATAAATCTTGGTGGAAATCAACAGTATTCTTAAGGTACCTTTATTTTATAAGGGGTCATGTAGTCTGTAGTAAGATAATATTCAAAAAGCTTCCAATTGTATTTATAGGGGTTGTTCATATTTTTCATTGGTTGTGGAAGCTGGTTCCCTAGATAAGCTGCAGAGTACGCCAAGCTTGTTTTGTACAAGTCTATTCTAAGTTTAGGTATGTGTAATGCCTTTTTGTCGGCGTCTGTGGCTTAGGCGTTGCGAACGCGCTTCGTAATTCCGGGGTGCCGGGTTTGATCCCAGCTGCGGGCCTTGCGCCTTGCGTTGGTTTCGACAGTGGTATAAAAAAAGCCAACCATCGAGAAAGCAATGGAAAACTACTGGACGTAAACTTGCCTAGAAAAACCACAACAGCCAAAAAATGCTAGGGTTGGTTCTACAACGTCCTGTAAAGGATAAGCAGCTAACCTTTAATACCTTTTTAGACACTTTGTTTTCAAGTACCGGCACCTTTTGTTTTCTAGAGGGAGGGGGGGGGGACCCTGTATTTGGATCCGCGGGGAGGGGGTGAACCCTGTATGTGATGATCCGCGGACAGATAAGAGACAGATAAGATGCGTCATTAAAATGTCGTGAAAGAAACTGACTCATGAAGAGAATTAATTACTTGCTTCAGAAAAGACCAATGTATATTTTTAGGATACCTCGTGAAAAGGCTAAAACTTGAGTTCAGTTGATTCAAAAACCGAAATCACAGCGCTCGGGGCATTCCCATAAGCGTTCTGTTCCCATCTTCAGCAGCCAACGCTGAGTTTCAGAACCAATGGCGCCAGTAGCAGTCTGAGTATCGGCCCAGGACTGCTCCTCACTCGTCACTCACTACCCAAGCTGCACTCAGCATGCCACTCTCACCAGACTGTGGTGCACCCATCTGCTCCTCCAAATTGTACACGCTCTCCCACAAGGCCCAAGCATGCCACCACATGTCTGCCTTATTATGTATCAGTATGCCACCACCAAGCATGTGCAGCAGTCAGCACCAAATCTGTCACCACCTGTTTATTTCACCAATACACCGACATACCACATGCCACTGCACCAAGAGAAAAGATCAAGACACTGCACCATGCTCCTCACTCATGATGCCCTCACCAAGCATGCCAGCGAAGCATGCCAGCTGCCACTGCACCAAGCATGCTTGTCCTCCCAGGTAAAACTAGAGTAGGTCGCGACGACAGAGCAGTACGAAGTGGCCAGGCGAGTATGTAACAACTGTAACCATGGCTTAGAATTAGAATGTCCACTATTAAAGAAACAGAATTGTACTATTTGTTACAATAAGCCGCTCGGTTTACGCTTCGGACTTCACGGGAAAGGACGATCGCGTACGCCTCTCGTGCATAAACTAATGTGCGAATGCTTCCAGTTACTAGTACTACAATGCTAGCTGCGCAAGCATATTGTCAATGGTGAAGTGACCAGGAGGCAGATACTCTGGCGATACCCTCTGCAGTGTAACCGCTACATGTTAACGCTTACACGTAAGAACTGATAACGCCTCGCCACTAGCAATAATACGGGAAGAGGTGCAGAAGTCAGAATATTATTGGCGGTAAACGAGACACACTGGCCTGTAAATAGACATTATTGCCATTGCTAAAGGGCTGGAACTGATTGATTGATTGATCGATCGATCGGTTGATTGATTGAAATAACAGATGTCGCATTCGTTAACACTGTAATAGATTGATTTTTTTTTTTATTTTGTCGTTAACCTGAAATAAAGGGAGAAGAATGCCTTCAGTTAGCAGAGACGCGTATTTGTCAGACATCCGGTGTCTTACAGTCGCCCGTGTGTCACCGGGGCCTCGTGGGAAGCAAAGAATAGTGACACTGCACCCTACCAGGCATGTCGTAAGAGGCGACTAAGGGTAGGGTTGGGCTTGGCGTTGGCTAACTCCTCCTGTAAAAACAATAGCCACAAAAACCAACCAACCATGGATAAGTCAAAAATAGAAGCACGTAAAACCCAGCCAACCCAGATGAGGGGAGGCTCTTCAAGTAGAATAAGTATGACACGGTGTGGAGAAAGCCGAAAGTAGTCAGGGTCGTCGACATACACCTCCTCTGAGCTAGGAAAACCTCCAGAATTGGCACCTGGAATGTTAGAACTCTCTACGATATAGGGAGAACAATACACACTGAGAAAACCGGAGAACCGCATAACTAGAATGTCTTTGCATTGGAACCCACAGGGGCATATGAAAAAAATGAAAGCCAAAATACGCATGGAGAAGAGAGCTGGAGAATGAAGTTAGACAGTTTGTTTGTTTTAGTATCCAGAAGCCATGAGTTGTTAACCCTTAGGCACGGTATTATTGATATCGCAACCTTTCTGCATTGATTCTATTGTAAATACCGTAAATCTGGGAGAAAATGTGGCTTTCCGGCCTACCCTCGGGATTGAACCCGGACCACAAGGAGTTCGTCACCTGGTCTCCGCGCAAGAAGTTAGAAGGATAGGGAGGACATCGTAAGAACTCCGTGTAATAGCGAAGGATAGAACGATTTTGTGTGAGTTGGTTGAGGGCCTATGCTCCATTGGGGGATAGAAAGGCAGAAGAAGAAGAAGTATCTTACAGTGTTACCTTGAGCGAGAACATTTTACCTTGCCGTGTACACATGTATTTACCCCCGCACACACACAAACACGGCGGAATCTGTCGGCCTAATTGGCGTGGGAAATGGGACGAGTAGGGACTGTGGCTGCGCAAGGGTTTTTGTTCGCGCAGTGATGTTTGTTTTATTATCCAGAAGCCATGAGTTGTTAACCCTTGTAAATACCGTAAATCTGGGAGAAATGTGGTTTTCTGCCTACCCCCGGGAGTGAACCCGGACCACAAGGAGTTCGTCACCCGGCACCGCGCAATTCGGTTTAGCTAGAGACTACGCTAGAGAGCCGGGCTCGCGTACTGATAAAGGAAACAAATCGCAAAAGAGAAATGGGCCGAGATGTTAGCTGACCGAACGCCGTCTCTAATAAATAGAGAAGGCCGTGGTTGAAGGGACAGAAACAAAATGAGGAGGCGCAGATGGAGTAGAGAATGTAATAGGATCTGCGACAAGAAGTGGACAAACTGGGCACAAAACTGTAAACTCCTGTGGACAATTCTGGTTCTTCGTCCACTCCCAGTCTTGACCCAGAACTTGAATTTTGCATGCAGGGTCGTTTTACAAATCCGTTTGATTTGTATGCAGACAGCTAGTTCCTTGCCTTTTAGGTAGATGATCTCCGGCTTTGAAGGAAACTCCCCATATTAGTCGCCTCCTACGACATGCTTGTAAAAAAAACCAGGCAGTGGGTCTGTTCTTTGTTGTCCAAAATGAGACCCCGGAACCCACACAGGGATCCAGTTCGGTCGAGTGAGACCCAAAATCAAAGTTTTTGGGGCATTCCTCTAAGCGCTCCTTCCATATCTTCAGCAAGCAGTGCAGAGATAATGGTAAAAAGTTGTAAAAAAAAGGACCCTTTTCCCAGCCTTTAGGCGTATAGGGCATATAGGGCTAGACCTATTTTTGTATAGACCAATCGGCACAAGATTGGTGATGTGGTCAGCATCACGCCGGTCGCTTTTACTTCATGGGACTGCACCCGGTACCCACTCAAGGCTGGGTCAATCTGGGAGAAAGGGTTATTTTTGAAAATAGTCCGGCTCCTCCAGGAAGCGAACCCGCAACCTTCTGATCCGCGGCGAGAGTCTAGCCGCTCGGTCATGGCGACTCCCAGAGTTAATGGTGCCTGGGAGGAAATAAGAGAGTGGTGACGGGGAAGGGTCGAAGGACCTTTACAGTGGATACCAGCAGAATAATTTTTCACCTTTACAAAGGGCGACAATTTTATGTTACAGTAAACCTTCAAAATTGTCTATCGTCCCGGCTGCTTGCTTTCTCAGACTGTCAGGTTCGTACAGCTCTTGACGACATGCTCTTACTTGAATCGCTGACTACCTTTTGCCGTCCTCTCTTCATGTCCTTCCGAGATTATCACTGTCTCTAATGTGGCTTTGAAGTTAGTGAACGAGTTTTTAAAAGTTTCTTGATTCTCGGGAACTATGGTTCGATTTCTGCCACGAAAGCGTCTTTAAAGTCAATTCTGGTGGTTATAGGTCATGTTAACTCGTTGAGTCCCAAGGAACGCATCATACGTTCATAGGTTCCTATCTAATAGCCCAATGAACGCATGATGCGTCAATTTTTTACTTTATTTACCACCCCTGGGCCTGTGATGCTAAACCCTCTGGGACTCAAAGATGTAATGAAGGTAGCACTGCGGAAGAGATTGGGACTGACACAATAATCATCCAAAAGCCAACAGTTGGTAGAATGCAGCCGACCTTTATTGTGAAAAAAGTCCGCAAATTTTTTATTTAAGAATTCATTGTTTAATGTATTTATTATCATTCTTTTTTTTTTTTTTTCCTGTTTTTAATTTTCTTATTTTTTTTGCCTTTTTAAATGAATATCTACTTCTTCTTCTTCATTCCGAGCCCTTGAGGTTCGTTGCAGCAGATAACACTCGCCTACATTCATATCTCTGGTTGGCCTTCTCTTTCCAGTTAGTGACACCTAGTGTTTGTAAACGTGACTGGATATTATCTCTCCATCGTCTTCTTGGTCTGCCTCGTGGTCTGCGACGATTCAGCGTTTTTGTGCACATAGTTTTTACCTCTCCGTTGTTTGACATTCTCCAAGTATGCCCCAACCATTTCTGTCTTTTAGCCCTTATGACGCCAGCAATCAAGGGTGATTTAAACAGATTATGAATTTGACTGTTGTTTCTGCCTCTTCTTCCTCGCTGTCTGCATCTCTGATGTGTCCAAAGATTCGTCGAAAGACTGTTTTTCAAAACTGTATAATAAGGATTCATCTCTTTAAGTTGTGCTCCAAGTTTCAGAGCCATATAAAACAACTGGTGTGTGTGTGTGTGTATGTATATATATATATATATGAGGAGTGGCTGGTTGAGCAGTTAAAACGTTGGGCTCTTGTGCGGGAGACTCGGGTTCAACCCCCCGGTCAGGGTAAAAAATTAAAACACCCGAAACTGAACAGTCAGTGGCGACAGCACTAGCCATGTGGCCCTAAACCCTCAGGCTCACAGCCACCCTGAAAAGGTGGTCAAGCAGATAGTAGTGACCGTTTTGAAAGTTTTTCATGTATAATGGAAAGAGCAGGTATTACAAAAGTCTTCTCAGTGCTCAGTATACGAAGGCTCAGGTGGCTGGGTCACAGCTGGAGAATGGAGGATGGCGGAGTCCCTAATGACATCCTTTATGGTGAACTAAAGACGGGTAGAAGATGTCGAGGCCGACCTCTACTACGGCATAAAGATGTGTGCAAGCTGGACATGAGTGATACAGGTACTGAGGTGGACTCGTGGGAACAAAACGCCATGGACCGTGTTGTGTGGAGAGGACACATCAGGAAGGGAATGAAAATGAAGGAAGAAATTACTACAGAAATGATGAGAGTTGAGCGTCTCAGAAGAAACAGATTAAACACAAATGTTGGCAACTGTGGTCCTGAAATGCCAAACTATAACTGTGGAAAACTTTTCTTAACGCAGGCGGTTCTTGCTAGCCACGCTCGCCGTCGCCATGGGCTGTTGAGTCTCATGCCTCCTCACGGCGCAGCATAACACTATCGCCTGGAAAGACAGAAAAAAGCCAATCAATCAATATATGTATAATGTAATTTCTAAAATTCTAGATGCTATCAAGTCTATAAATGTACTTTTCTCTGACACCCAGGCATTGATCAAGTCCTAGAAGGCGGTTCCGGCCTGCTACATCTGGCCATACTGGCCCACAACATTGAGACTGCCCAGTTTTTGATGGCGGCAAAAATCTCCCCGAAAATTCGAGACATTAAAGGTTGGTGGAGAAAGCTGCATATTTCCATTTTCTCACATACTGGTTCAGTAATAATGTGGTTGGACGCCGTGTGCAGGTTGTTTTAATTAACGTTTATGAGGACTTGGAAAGATACTTTCATCATCATCATCATCAGCAGCAGCATCATCATCGTATGCCATGCGGTCTCATTTCGCCACCTCAAACGATGACCTCATTCATCTTATCCCGCCCCATCCACATGGCCAAGCCATCCAGGTAGTCATCTCTTTGTCTTTCCCTTGCTCTCTTAACTGTGAAACAATTGCTATTCTTGGCACCTTGAACAAGTTAGTTTGCCATTGATCTCTCTTGGCAGTGACCATACTAGTCGGGTGACCGTAGCTATTATCAAAATAATAGTTGTTCCAGCAGTACAATAATATAGAGCAATACTTACTGGGTCAGCAGTTAGACGCTGACTGGGCTAGCAGGTAGACGCTGGCTGGGCTAGCAGGTAGACGCTGGCTGGGCTAGCGTTTAGACGCTGGCTGGGCTAGAAGTTAGACACTGGCTGGGCTAGCAGTTAGACGCTTGCTGGGCTAGCAGTTAGACACTGGCTGGGCTATCAGTTGGACGCTGGCTGGGCTAGCAGTTAGACCCTGGCTGGGCTAGCAGGTAGACGATGGTTGGGCTAGCGGTTAGACGCTGGCTGGGCTAGCGGTTAGACGCTGGCTGGGCTAGCGGTTAGACGCTGGCTGGGCTAGCATGTTAGACGCTGGCTGGGCTAGCAGTTAGACACTGCCTGGGCTAGCAGGTAGACGCTGGCTGGGCTAGCGTGTAGACGCTGGCTGGGCTAGCGGTTAGACGCTGGCTGCGGATCGGAATTTCCTTGGTTCAGGTCCTGGGGGAACCGGGTTTTTTCCTCCATAAATGAGCTTGGCTCTGAGGTCGACCCAGCTCTAAACGGGTACCAGGTAAAGTCCTGGGAAGTAAAGGCGGTCGCCATGATGTTGACAACATCAACCACCATCTGCCATTCGGTCTATAAAATGTTGGTCTAGACCTACACACCCAGTATGCCTGAAGTTGTAGAAAGGATCATATATATTTTTTTTTGTTCAACTACCTGTTTGGGTGTGATAAATTCTAAATTTAGAGACAACCATTAACTGACAATGAATCTCTGTAAATTACCTATGACGATGAGATACTGGTGGCACATAGACAGCTCAGAGATCTGCATGGCAAGGTCAAGCAATTTATTAGAAGATGACAAGAAAAAAAAAACCTGTCCGCGCATTCAAGCGTGTGGGGCGTGCAGATCCAAGCCTATATGAGGCTACAGATCCAGGCCTTATGAGGCTACAGATCCAGGCCTATATGGGGCGTACAGATCCAGGCCTATATGGGGCGTACAGATCCAGGCCTATGTGGGGCGTACAGATCCAGGCCTGTATTGGGCGTACAGATTCAGGGCTATATTGGGCGTACAGATTCAGGCCTTTATGGGGCGTACAGATTCAGGCGTATATGGGGCGTACAGATCCAGGCCTATATGGGGCGTACAGATCCAGGCCTATGTGGGGCGTACAGATCCAGGCCTGTATTGGGCGTACAGATTCAGGCCTATATGGGGCGTACAGATTCAGGCGTATATGGGGCGTACAGATCCAGGCCTATATGGGAAGTACAGACCCAGGCCTGTATGGGGAGTACAGATCCAGGCCTATATGGGGCGTACAGATCCAGGCCTATATGGGGCGTACAGATCCAGGCCTGCATGGGGCGTACAGATCCAGGCCTGTATGGGGCGTACAGATCCAGGCCTATGTGGGGCGTACAGATCCAGGCCTGTGTGCGGCGTACAGATCCAGGCCTATATGGGGCGTACAGATCCAGGCCTATATGGGGCGTACAGATCCAGGCCTGTATGGGGCGTACAGATCCAGGCCTATGTGGGGCGTACAGATCCAGGCCTATGTGGGGCGTACAGATCCAGGCCTATATGGGGCGCACAGATCCAGACCTATATGGGGCGTACAGATCCAGGCCTGTATGGGGCGTACAGATCCAGGCCTATATGGGGCGCATAGATCCAGGCCTATATGGGGCGTACAGATCCAGGCCTATATTTTACTAGCACTTGGTTGGTGACGTGGTCAGCATCACAATGACCACCTTTACTTCCCCTGATTTAACCTAAGGCTGGGTTGACGTGGGAGCCAGTGTCGTCTTTTTTTTTCAAGTCCGACTGTGTTCGGATTCGAACCCAACCTTCGGAACCGCAGACGACCGTCTGCCATGCAGTTTATTTTTTGAACTAAAAGCATACATTAGAGAATAAGGAACGCCAGCGCCACCTTTGAAAGTATTTGCTGTCAGAGAAAAAAAAAATCAAGTATCATCAAAGATAATACTGCTTGCATAATAAACCCCTTATTTTAATGACACGATGTTAGTAAGATTATCTAAATATTCATTTACAATTTCTACCTTAACCACAACCCAAAAATGTGTAGACAAAACACTGTTTGAAATATGTACAAGTACACATATATATAATATTTAGTTGCCATTCAGTACATGTTTATTTAGAAGTTAGTTACGTATCCTGTACAGGACGTTGCAGAATCAACCCCATAATTTTTTGGCTATTATGGTTTTTCTAGGCCAATTTACGTCCAGTAGTTTGCCATTGCGTTCTGGACTGTCGGGTTCTCGATACCACTGTCGAAACCAACGCAAGGCGCTGGGATCGAACCCGGCACCCCGGCATTACGTAGCGCGTTCGCAAAGCCTAAGCCACAGACGCCGACAATATATATATAGTTAGAACTATCATCAGGGAAGGCTCACTCATGGGCCACTCAAACATCCAAGACCTACAACAGATTGCAACGAACCGCCATGCATGGAGAGTCATCACCTCTGCCCGATGTGCCGCACTTGACACAAGAGGAAAGACTAACTATATATATATATATATATATATATATATATATATATATATATATATATATATATATATATATATAAAATATGCGAATATTTTTTTATATTTAGTTGCATCCAGCACATGTTTATTATCATTTTTATTAATTATTATTATTATTATTATTATTCACTTAAAAAAGACATGCCTTTTGAGCTCGGCCCTTGGTGCTAGGTTCAACCCTATATGCCCAATATGCCTGAAGGCATAGAAAGGGTCATTTACTTTACTTTATTCTTGAGCGCCCACCCCCCCCCCCCCCACCCCGGGGCCAATAAACTTTATAAGAGAGCACACCAATGTTTTCTATGTATCGGCTTCCCTGCTCATAGAGACTGGCAGCAAGCCTGTAATAACCAGCTCACTATGCATTGATACAGATTCCTGTATAGGATTTGAGATAGTAAACATTGACAAAACACAGTCACATCTCACACACATAGACACCAATATCATCATAGACAACAGTGGTGTCAATAGCCATGTTATGACAATGTCCTCAGGGGCAGGTCGTCCTACATTACATGTTGACTCTATGGCTCTATGGTATGTGTAAATACGTGCAAGAGATATGTAGCAAACAGTGCAGGCATACTTGATGTGTGTGCCTGCAGGCCTCAGGCTGAGCAGGTGCATCGAAACCTGGGGCTCTTACACCTCTCCCCCCCCCCTCACGCGGACTCTCAAACCCCCCCCCCCCCCCCCCATCCATCCCCTTCTTATTTTCCTTTAAACAATGTAAAGGGGCTAGTTGTCAACCCTACCTCACTGCCGCACACCATTTATTGATTGTATCTGTAGTATATGAGTATACAATTTCATATTTTTTTCAGGAGATCCACTGGGAACTTCGTTAGAGCTATGGAACTCGTGCATTGTGCCATGTTCTCGGCAGGCGGTTAGCCGTTTTCGGGAAACAGACTGAGCCATGAGGGATATTATTTCAAATATATTGTTATCCCTGTGTGGGCTCTAGATCCCATTCGGGGGTGGGGGTCGCGGGATAAAGCCACTGCCCCCTAAAAAGCGTGTTGCACAAGACGACTTTATAACTGTTGATGTTTTCTTCCAAGTGGATCTGCTTGAGATTGCGATGAACCAGCATATAAATAATCCGGATCTGGAAAACATGCAAAACTCTAGTTCTAGAACAAAACCCAAAGTCCAGAAGTGGTCGAACAGCCTGACTTTTCTATTGAATTTGCAGCCGGTTAACGTGAGAAGAAGAAGAAGAAGAAGAAGAAGAAGAAGAAGAGAAGAAGGAAGAGAAGAAGAAGAAGAAGAAGAAGAAGAAGAAGAAGAAGAAGAAGAAGAAGAAGAAGGAAAGAAGAAGGAAAGAAAGAAAGAAAGAAAGAAGAAAGAAAGAAAGAAAGAAAGAAAGAAAGAAAAGAAAGAAAGAAAAGAAAGAAAGAAAGAAAGAAAGAAAGAAAGAAAAGAAAGAAAGAAAGAAAGAAAGAAAAGAAAAGAAAGAAAGAAAAGAAGAAAGAAAGAAAAAGAAAGAAAGAAAGAAAGAAAGAAAGAAGAAAGAGAAAGAAAGAAAGAAAGAAAGAAAGACATAAAGAAAGAAAGAAAGAAAGAAAGAAAGAAAGAAAGAAAGAAAGAAAGAAAGAAAGAAAGAAAGAAAGAAAGAAAGAAAGAAAGAAAGAAAGACATAAAGAAAGAAAGACAGAAAGACAGAAAGAAAAGAAGAAAAAGAAAGATAAAAAAAAAAGAAGATGATGATGAAGACTCTTGTATGTTTTGAAGAAGTTGAACTTAACCAGTTATGTAAGATAGACGCAGCATTAACAACGTAGTTAGCTAAAAGAACAGTCACTAATAGACTCTCTGTGCTTTATCATGTTCACTGACTGCAAACTCCAGTGAAGAGTTCCGGTTGTTCGTCCACTTGTGGACTTTAGTATTGTTTCATAATGTGGGTTGTGTATGCACTTGTTTTATAGATCTGGCTTACTTGAATGAAGACTGTTGGTTTCTTGCCTCTCAGGCAGATGCACTTTGACTTCAAAGTAAAACCGTAATTAGTCTTCTTTTACGACATGCTTCTTGCGTGGGGGGAGGGGTGAGGTAAGGGGGGGGGGGAGGTCAGTGGGTCTGCTCTGTTTTTTTTTTTCTATGAATGAGGCAGTGGAACCCGCACAGGGAAGTCAACAGGTTGGAAACCGCTGATGTTTATAACCAACCAATCCCTACCTTGTCCTAAATATTTCAGCAGAACTGATCCCACAAGGCCTAATAAGCCTGGTCTAAGAGATCTGGTTTGTCAGTTCACGCCTTATGTTATCATTAAAAGTCAATATTGACTATCAGCCCAGCTGTGATACCTCCAAAAACAACACTACATGACACAGTGGCATCTGTTAGTAAGTAAACTATAGCAATGACGCTTCGAACAAAAGATGCCAGACTCATCTTTCTAAAGCAATCAGCACTCTGTTTGCAATATGGTCAACATTTACGCCGGTCGCCTTTACTTTCTTGGACATCACCTAGTACCTGTTGTAAGCTGAGTCGACCTGGCTGCCAATGTCAGTTCTGGAGAGAGAAAGAAAATCCGCTCCGATACAGGTTCGAACCTGTGACGTTTGGGCCGGCAGGCGAGCGTCTGACATCTGTGTTAATAAAGGGACAAAACTGTGATAAATTAGTTATTTTATGGATGTCATATTACTTCCCTTTGGTTCCTTATCGGAAATAGCGGACAAAACTTTCTGGCCAGAAACCTCGGTCATCGACATCAGGTAGGGCCTGGAATTGTGTTTGTGGTGGATATTTTTGTTTGAAAGTGATTTGAATAGCATAATACTGATCATCAGTCTGATGCAGACGATTTCGTGGATGCCATTATTTTGCATATACAAATTTTCATTTGTAACTTCTGCATTTAAAAGACTCATTCCAGCAATGGCAATGATTCCTGGAATTACTTTTTGAAAGTTCGTAGTTTAGTTATCTTTTTTGCTTGCAGTCCTTAACACACACAAACAAAAAAAAAACAATTGCAAATTCCGACCCCTTATGGGACGCACTATAAGTGGTTTTGTTTTTCAAGCCACACATCGGCTATCGCCGGGAGCTCTGATATAACCTAACGGTTAAAGGGGGTTTATGGGATATGCACCTGGGGATTCTCTTCCGATTGATGGCTCTTTGTGTCACTAGGAGTTTGATCACTCTTTCTGCGGTTCTCATTTTGGAGAAAAAAATGTTTCTAAACAAAGAAGTACATTGACATGTTGCTTCAGTAGATTGTGTGTGTGTGTGTGTGTGTGTGTGTGTGTGTGGTGTGTGTGTGTGTGTGTGTGTGTGTATATATATATATATATATATATATATAAATATGTCTGTGTGTTGTATGTGTGTATCTGTGTGTGTATACGTGTATGTGCGCGCTTCTATGCAGACTCACTGGGACTACCCCAAAGAAATCAATCATTGCCATGGGGAGGGAGGGTTTCAAGGAAAGGCACACCACACCCCCCCCCCCCCCCCCCCCCCCCCCCCCCCCCCCCCCCCACCCCCCCAATCCTCAATTTTTTTATCTCTTTCCCCTCATAATTTTGTAGGCACCTCAACCCCTTTTTTACATTTTCTACAGGGGAGGGGACGCTCAAGATGCTTACGCTTTAATTGTACAATAATAATGACATATCAATAGCTAATAAAAATAATATACATATATTTGAAACTATGTGAAATATATAAAGATATATTTTTTGGGGAAAAAAAAAAACCACTTTGTGTAAATGGTTAGAGCGACCAGTCAGCCCTCTTGCAGATGTTCTAGACCAGGGGTTCTCAACCTGCTGGTCGCAACCCTTTTTTGGTCCCAACCCTTTTTTGGTCCCACAGTCCTCTCATAAGACCATCGGAAGACACATTCATTGAAGTTATGAAGAAAATAATTGTTTGGGGTTTGCTACAACATGTTTTGAAGGGGCGCGGCATTAGGAAGTTTGAGAACCACTGGTTTAGAGGGAAAGGAGGTTGAGAGAACCCCCACCCCTCCACCCCACCCCATCAAAGCCAAAAGAAAATTCTTAGTAGAGGAGAAGGTTCTATGCCCCTGTTTAAAAAAAAAAAAAAAAGTTGGGTGGGTGAGGTACCAGAGACCCAGTGTTTCAATGCCTCTGGTCAGATCTGCAAGTCAATGACTTCAGTTAAAAAAAAAAAAAAATAACTTTTGGGTTCCTGAAATCCCTAAGCAGTTTTTGGCAGAATCTTGTTGGCCTCTTCTACAACTGAACAACTTGTAAATACACCTTCAGACTTACTGGGTACATGGCAAAACCAAAACCCACCCCCCCCCCCCCCCCCCCCAACCTTACTTTTTGTCAGTCAGTGAGAGCCCAGGGTCCCCACACCTGAAAGCTGTAGTTTTGTCCAGGCTAAACACTTGCTTGTCAGACCTAAGATATTAAGTTTAAATCTATGTCAAGGCAGTTAACATTACTTTGTACTGCCAGATAAACCCAGCCAAAATTAGACACATGGAAGTGTCCCTGGAAGTTAAGACAGTTAGTATATGTTGACAATATCACCCAACAAATACAATGAACAGTCAGAAGTTTTCTGCAGGAGTTTACAGCCGGTGAGCACTAAGAAAAAGGAAGAGCTACTTTGTTTAATGCCAGTCCCAGATATACCACTCAGCCAGATTAAAGTAAAAATAGGACACTCTACAATTACACTTATGAAGTAATCTACTGTCTTGTATGGGTGGACTTAAACTTGTATTCTTCTTCTTCTTCATTTCTCTATTCCTGGAATGCATCAGGGCAGGAGGAGATCTTTGGAACAGGCCTTTCTATGTGCCTCATGCAAAGTACTTTTTAGTATCTCTCATATTTCTGCAGAATATCTTATGCATGGTAGACCTCTGGCTCAGTTACCATTGTATCTGAATAACATTGCTCTATAGTATATGTGGGGGTGGAGGGGAGGTAATTAAGGTCATTTGATTACTTGGTTACCAAATAACCGGCTGTCCAGAGTTGGTAGGTACAGTATTGGTTACTTAGTATATGTAAAAACAGTTCAGTTTCTTATTTTTCTACCATTTCCTAGGCTTGACCGCAGACCAAGTGTGCTTCAACCCTTCTGTGAGGAAACAGATGGCGCCACGATACCTTTTGAACCGAGATGTGTCCAGGGACAAGATCATGCTGAAGCCCAGCATCCAGGAGAAGGATGACATATTCAAACTGGCAGCTAGCCCTAAACATTTTGTTGATATTCAGAAAAAACTGCATGTTTGTTTGACATGTTCTGATGTTTTCATCATCATCATTTGTTTGTCTTTGTCTGTCTGTCCCTCTGCATTGCTGCCTGAGAATTTGACCACCATGTAATCTCGGTAATCGCATTCCGATTGGCAAACCGATTACTGATTTAAGAATTGACATTGTAGCATACCATAGATGCTCCGTCTTCCGCAGCAAATGTCTTAACATGTAGATGCCAACTGTTCCCATAGCACACTGATTATACACATGTCGTTTTCTTCCTCACATACGTCCCTCCTTGCCAGATCCACTCCTGATTCTTCTCTTCCTCACATACGTCCCTCCTTGCCAGATCCACTCCTGATTCTTCTCTTCCTCACATACGTCCCTCCTTGCCAGATCCACTCCTGATTCTTCTCTCCTCACATATGTCCCTCCTTACCAGATCCACTCCTGATTCTTCTCTTCCTCACATATGTCCCTCCTTGCCAGATCCACTCCTGATTCTTCTCTTCCTCACATACGTCCCTCCTAGCTAGATCCACTCCTGATTCTTCATTCACACATTCTTACACATGTTATTGCATCTGACTTCTATTATATTTGTCATCGCGTATGGTCTTCACAATGTTTGCCTTGTCCAGTAGGAGTGTTCCATAACTATCACTTTTGTAACCGGAAAATCGGCTCTTTCATTCCCTGGCTCTCCTGCATGTCCTGGACAGTAAATCCCCATGATTCCCTGCAATATTGACACACTGATGTTTGTCATCCACACATGCCACATTTGTCCATTGTGAATCTTCCACAGTCTCTATTGTAAATCAGGAATGGCAAACCAACAGAGCAAATCCCAAATAATCCTTTCAACCACCTTTCAAATTCCTTTTTACAAAGTTATAATTAGCACATGTTAGCACATTAGCGATGTTGTTTCTCCCTTGTTCCATTTTTTGTAAGTCTGCTAACTGATTTCCTGGTATGCCGCTGTGAGCCGGGATCCACTAGAGAACGATAATGTTTTCTGAGAGTCTGTTTAGCTGGCAGGTCATTTCTCTCTTCATGTTGTCTTGTGGATCTTCTTTAGATACCTGGAGGACTGACATGCAGTTACACAGGAAAACAATTTTGCTATTTTTAATTTTTCCTACCTCAAGGCCTTTGGCTGCTTCAATAATTGTGCTCTGTTCTGAAGTTTCTTGAGAGTTTCCCAGAGGCTCATGACGTTTTCTCTGGTCCCATCTTGCAGCATGATTACCAGCCCCTTTGTTGTTGTTTTTTAATGCTCCCTCCAATGATCCATTGGTATACCTGTGTCCTCTTAGGTCATGGGTAAGAGTTGTAGACATGTTGAAGGGTATTTGCGTGCAGTACTAGTTCACATTTTTCAGCCTTTCTGTCTAGGCTTGGTTTTGTTGTGAATGTATAGTTAGGCTTTAGGTCTATGCAGTATGCATGGATCATTTGCCATGTTGAAGGATCTTTAGATCGGATGTCACTGTTTTGGGCGCAGAACAATCTTGATAAATGGTTTTTAGTTAAGTTGTTTGCTATTCTATGCATGGAGTTGTTGTTCATGCATTTTAACTTTTCTGTTAGGTTAAGCATCTTTTCTTCTCTTCGTTGGCTCAAACTCTGGAGGCCAAAAGTTGCTTCCAGCTTAATAATTGGTGAGCTTCTCATACCTCTAGTGATGATTCTAAGATCAATGTTCTGTGTTTTGTCCAGTTTGTTTAGATTTCATTTGGCTGTTGTGCACAGGCAGAGGAACGGAGGCAGACTAGAAAGAACCATATCGTAGCTTCCACCGGTTGTCCACACTGGTCAAGAACTTTCCAGGATATTATTGTACTAATCAGCCACCTTTTTGACCTTTACTGCTTTGGATGAAAATTGGTCTTCATCCCTCATGGTAGAAGCACAACATTTTTGTCATGCTGTGTTGGCATTTACCCTGTGGTTCCAGTAAGTTTCTTCATAAGTCTAAGCCACAGGGTAGCTTTACTTTGGGTGTCTTCAATGTGGAAGCCCCAGTTTAGTCTTTTGTCGAATTTGACTTCCAAATAAATGGAATTGTCCTCTTTTGGAAGGATGTTGCCTTCTAAGTTCAGTTCAACTTGATCTGGCTTTGTGGAAAGCGAGAAAAGAGTCGAAAGTTTTGGTCTGGTTCATTATGACTCCCCAAGAGTCTATCCATTTTTAAACTGTATTTGTAGCTTCCTGCTTGTTTGTTTTAGTTGTTCCTGTTTGTTCATCATCGGGCATTTTTATGTTTGATGCATGAAGACTCTATAAGGCACCAAACAAGATACTACAAAATATGCCAGACAATAAATTATACAGTATACTGTGTTGTCGTTTTTTTTGTAAACTCCAGCAGAAAGTCTGGTTGTTCAACCACCTCTGGAGTTCGACTTGTTCCAGAACTTGAGTGTTGCATGCGCATCATTTTTACAGATCTGACTTATTTGTATTCAGACAGTTGGTTCCTTGCCTCTCAGGCAGATGCACTCTGACTTCGAAGGAACACATGTGAAATTTTTTTTTTATTTAGTTTACTAGTTGTCACTCAGTTTTATAGCATTTGTCTACCCATAGCAAGTCCACAAATCATTCGAAACAGTTAATAACATTAATCTTAGGCTTCTTTGGAAAGACGTACAGTCTAACAGTAACATAAAGGAACCTTTTGCACGCCTTCAATCTTATAGGGCATATAGGGCTAGACCTGTATTTTATAGACCAGCCGGCACTTGGTGGGTGATGTCGTCAGCATCACGCCTGTCGTCTTTACTTTGCAGGACTGAACTGGTACCCACTCAAGGCTGGGTCGACCTGAGAGCAAAGGTCATTTTTTTTAAGTCAGGACCAAGCTCATGATCTTCCGCTTCACAGGCAAGTGTCTAGCCACTAGACCACAGCGGCTCGCACAGTGTAACAGTGGGCTATGTTTTTTTTTTTGTCTTCTTCAATTGAAAGGATAAATTCATGTGCTTCATAATATATTTCAGAATTCACATTTTCCCCCCATTATATTTGCAGACTTTGGACTTCAATGTGAATACGGAATGTGACAACAGTGGAGATTTTCTATTGCATATTGCTGTTCGAGAAGGTAGTGTGTGAATGTGTGCGTGAGAGAGAGAGAGAGAGAGAGAGAGAGAGAGAGAGAGAGAGAGAGAGAGAGAGAGAGAGACTAACTGAAAGATAGAGAGAGAGAGAGGCACAGAGATTTAAACTGGCAGAGTGCAATGCCTGTGTGGGTTCTGGGTCTCCTTTTGGGGGAGGGAGGAAAGAATAGACCCTCTGCTCCCTAACAAGCATGTCGTAAGAGGCAACTAATTAGCAGTGTTTCCTTTAAAGTTGGAGAGTATCCGTCTGAGAGGAAAGGAACCAACGGTCTGCATACAAATAAGCCTGATCTGTAAAATGGATGTGCATGCAAAACCCGAGTCCTGGAACCAAGCCGAGAAATGTATGAAAAGCCACGACTTTTCGCCAGAGTTTACAGATGGTGGATACAAACAAACAATCCAGGGTTTGCTGAAATCAGATATGTTGGGCGGAAAGGCAAATGTATTGCAGCCAAGCTGTAAACCACAACATATGAAAAGATCTTCTGAAGGCCAGTGCAGAAGAAGAATTGAGAGAGAGAGAGAGAGAGAGAGCGATTTTTTATTGTTGTGTGTTATAAAATAACTAAAGCATAATTTTTCAGAAGGTGTAGTTACAGAGTTGAGAATCCTTTGCTGTTCCCGGAGACATATTGGGTATATTGTGCAAACCCCATGTTTTTGTAGATTGGCACTCGATGGGTGATATAGCCAATAACACACCAGTCATCTTTACTTCCCAGAGCATTTCCTAATATCTATTTTAAACAGGATCACCCTGCGAACCCTAGATCAGTAAAAATCCACATTGATGCAGATTTGAACTTTAACCCTTTTGTGTCATAAGAATCTTAAAATATGACCTTTTTCTCCCAAAACAATTTACAAAGAAATGCATTTTTATAATTCAATGAAACGCTACCCTGTGAAAATAGAGAACGAGAAAAAGAAGAAAAAAAAATAGGATCTGCTGCAGTTTTTATAAACATCTAGGAGGTCAAGCCCCTAGACCACCAAGCAGTCAAGCGTGACGTCTACAGTTGGAAAACATTTAGTTCTTGGCGTCACTTGTATTTAGTGATTAATTGCCTTACGTAAAAAACTTTGTTTTCATGAATAAATTAAATTAAAAATTAATTTCAATTATTTTAGTGATTTTACAACCACGTTTGGTTTGCTATTAAGGGCTCTACCCTCTTTCAGTCTCCAAGTGTGACCTAGCCACCTGAGCCTTTATTTTGTTAATAGATAGCTCACTTGTTAGCTAGCTAACTAGCTAACTAGTTACTTTATCTGAATTCCAGGGCTCAACCAGCTTCCATTACTGATGGCACTAATAAACATCCAGAGGGCAGACGTGGAGTTGTGCAATGCTGCTGGAATGACTCCTCTCATGATAGCTGCCCAAGCTGGAAACTGTGTTCTTTGTGATGTGAGTTTTTTCTTGTCTTGTATCATTTCACTTCTTTCTTTCCCTTAATATTTCGTTCCTGTTCTTTCTTTCTCTTAATATTTTCTTCCTATTTTATTCTTTCTATCTACTCTGTCTATTCTTTTTTCCATCCATCCATTCATCTTATTTTTTTTCCTTTCTTTCCACCTATGAGGTACATCTTTGCTTTCTTTTATCTGAAAATTGTAACAGATTTCTTTGCACTTCTGTTATACGTCAATTAGCATAGGTCATTAAAAAAAGGTAAAAGTAAAGATCCCTTTTCACACTTTTAGGGGCATCAGGCATATAGGAAGAGCACCCAAATTATTTCAGACCAATCAGCACTAGGTGGGTAATGTGGTCAGCATTACGCCGACCGTCTTTACTTCCCCAGAACATATATCCCCGTACCCATTTTAGGCTAGGTCGACCTGCAACACCCCATACCATGATAAAATCCATGCAGCCAGCAGTTGGTTTCAGTCATAGTATATTGGAATTACGAGTCGGACTCGCAACACCTAAGCCATGGACGCCGCAGCATAGGTCATAAGTAGGCCATTTTATTTTTAATACAATTTACTTTTATTAGATTTAAATACATTTGTTGCTATAACATTTGTGCACATCTGTTTTGGTGTGTATTTTATTTTCTTATGATTTCTCGGTTTGATCCTTACATGTGTTCTATTGACTCATTCTGTTTGCGTACATTATAAGTTTTTGTTGTCAGGTTCTGGTGTGTCTGTTTGGAGCAGATCCGAACAAACGCAGTCCACAGTCAGGCAGGAGTGCACTCCACTATGCAGCAGAAAGCAACCACAGAAAAACTGTAGAGTAAGTATTTTTGTTTATGCTGTCATTTTAAATTTTACAAAAGAATGTTTCCCAGAAAAGCCATTACAATCATCTTTTTCTGTGTTTGCCATTAAAAATGCTGTTGGCATATTGTGTTGTGGTTTACAGTAAGACTGTGATATCTGCTTTTTTCAGCCTAACACATCAGATTTCAGCTAACTTCTAATTAGTCATCTTTTATGTCATGCTTGTTAGGGGCCCTAAACAATGGGACCGCCTAAACCCATGTGGGGGGTAACTAACCCAGTCAACAAATGCCCAAAATATTATGCTGAAACGTGCAAATATTGCAACTCTCTTGAAAATGAGTACATAAAACGACATCCCCCCCCCCAAAAAAAAACATATCAGGTGAACTCCCTGTATGGGTTTTGGGACTCCATTATGGAGAATAAGAATAGACTCACTTTGGGCCCCTCCCCTCCACCACCAAACAGGCTTGTCGTGGGAGGTGATTAATTAGGGGTGTGTGGTTTCATTCCTAATCGGAGAACATCTGTCTGAGAAACAAGTAACCAGTAGCATGCATACAAACAAGCCATATCTGTAAAATGAATGGGCATGCAAAATGCCAGTTCTAGATCAAGGAGTGGGCAAACAGCCAGAACTTCCCACGGTACTTTCTTATTAGCTGACCACAAACAAAATCCACAGGTCACAGGACAATGAAATATTACAGGCGGTGGGAGATTAAACGTATAGTTTTGGTTTGGGTTAGGATTAGGTAAATGCGTAAAAACGAGGGCTTAGAAGAAGCATGCTAAAGCACAGAAACCATGGAAAACCCGCTCTTACCACCCTCTAAAGTATTGGAACTGTCCCGTGACATCATTTGTGGTCAGCTAAAAAGAAAGTTCCCTTTCCACCTGAGTTTACAGATAGTGAACACTAAAAAGAAGGTGAACAAAGACAGAGGCATCTTTTTGTTTCTGCTTCCAGGTTCTCATTACCAAATGTTCGTGAGCAAACATAGTTTTTCTAGTACTTTTTTTTCCTCACTCTTTTTTCTTTCTTTGCCATAATCTTTGGGTCTTTCTGTCTAACCTTCTTTCATGCAGGCCAGAACAATCAAATACAGAGGTTCTTCAAATACTACACCTGAAAAGAGATAGAAAAAGATACAACTTAAATATTTCTGCAGTATTAAAAAATTTACCACTCTTATAAGAACAGTACTGGAGGGAAAAGATGAAAGCAACTGAACAAGAAGCACATGGTGATACAAGATGACATCAAGAAATGGATAAACAGCAGTTGGAGAGAGTGTAAATCCAGGGTGAAAGACGGATCAGGGAGATCTATTGCAGCAAATCCTCATTGTGGAGGTGGCACCTGATTGACTGATTATAGTTGCCCACATATTCTGGTGTACACTCTGTTCCTAGAGCTAGTCCCACATCCTCTTTCATGAGACAGTGCCAGAGACAACAACATAAATATTTGATGCTGCTGATATTTTATTAGTAGCTAAATTGGCTGACAACACCAGGTCTGTTTTTTTTTTTTTTTCCTGTATAGTGCTGTTGTCTGGCCTCACCTCTTTTCACTTGCAGTTCTTGCAGTCTGGTCTTGGTTGCAGTGCATATTTCGTCAATACTTGGTTCACACAAACATCTTACTTCTAACAGATCGTATATGTCTGAGGAGAATGGGAGTTATCAGGTGATCTGGCTGACGCTCAGCACTCAAAAGAAGGGCAACACGGACATAAAATCAGACAGTTACTGGTACCATCGGAATTAAAACACTTTGCTTGCTGTTGAAGATGGGGAATGAGTGCTTATGGGAGTGTCCCGAGTGCTGTGATGTCGATTCTTAATTCAACATTTAGCATAAAGATATTGATTTGATCCACCATACTTTTGCTCAGTGACCCTTTACAGTAGCCCTGTCCGCAGTCGTGTCAATGGAAATGTAAATGAAATATTGTAATCCACTTTCAGATGCTTAATTCGAAGAGGGGCCGACATTAATATGGAGGATCATGAAGGCCTGCGAGCGGATGATGTCCCAACATGCAGTGCTGTCACAGATGACTGTCGGGAGGTGATTGTGTTCAACAGAAGTAAACGTCTGGAAATGCTGAGTGATTTGGTGAAAAAGGTGAGACTATAGTGCTGGCCAAAAGTTTAGGTGATTGGAGCCAGGCTACATCCTTAATAGGCTGGTGCATTAACCCAGATGCCACATGGATTCCTGAATCATTATAGGTGTGGAAATATGTGTATGGTATGGTGTCGCAGGGCATTTTGTCTGTTGGCAAACCGTTTTATTTGCTATCTTTGTATGTAGTTTATTATTGATTCTGTATCGACTTTGTCAGTTATGACTTATTTTCTGATTCTGTTCTCTTTTGGCCACTCTTGCAACTTTTCTGAGGCTTCTTCTTATTAGCGTTCCCTAGTTGTAAACCCTGATGGAGGGTTCTGGTTGTTCATCCACTTCTGGACTTTGGACTTGTTCTAGAACTTTCGTTGTGCTTGTACATTCTGTTTGCAGATCTGGTTTATTTGTATGCAGACTGTTGGTCCCTCGCCCCACAGGCAGATGATGCTCTCCAGCTTTGAAGAAAAATAAACTGTCATTGGTCACCTCTTATGGCATGTTCATAAGGGTTCTAATTGAAAACATCTCATTGCCATGGTTCTAATTGAAAACATCTCATTGCCATGGTTCTAATTGAAAACATCTCATTGCCATGGTTCTAATTGAAAAAATCTCATTGCCGTGGTTCTAATTGAAAACATCTCATTGCCATGGTTCTAACTGAAAACATCTCATTGCCATGGTTCTAATGCCATGGTTCTAATTGAAAAAATCTCATTGCCATTGTTCTAATTGAAAAAATCTCATTGCCGTGGTTCTAATTGAAAAAATCTCATTGCCGTGGTTCTAATTGAAAACATCTCATTGCCATGGTTCTAATTGAAAACATCTCATTGCGATGGTTCTAATTTTTAAAATAATTTATAGTGTAAATCTGTGCAAACATATGGAATCTCTTTGCTTTGCTGTATGTTGTTATAATTGGTGTTGTAACTCAGGGAGAGGTGGTCTCAAGCCAGCTCCTACCGTCAGACCTGTGTGTGGTAGATGAAGATGGAAACACCCTCATCATGCTTGCTGCATCCTACAACAGGTAAAGGCTCATTCCTGGAGTGATGGTGTTGTCTTTGTATTTGATGTACCTCCATGCTAATGCCAAAATTAAAATCTCCTATCTTTTTCTCACCCTCCTTCTCTTCGCCCTTAAGTTTTCTCATTTTACTTCGTAACTCCAGTATTTTTCTTCTTTTGACAGACTTGGAGAATCTGTCTGGTCTGTTGATAGGGTTAACCAGGTTTTTTTGTTTTTGCTATGAGTTATTTTTTTTACAAACTTCATTTATGATGTTAAAATCCATTCATGTGTTCTTGTCATGCTTTAATTAGTAAAAATAAAAAAAATAAAAAGTTATCTCAGCAACCTCGACATAATTTCTTGCTAGTCTGCTGGCTAACCGTGACTGACTTCTGTACATCAAGATGGGCTCTCTTGCAAACATGCTCACTTTCTTATTGACTGTCTCCTTCTCACCCTTCTTGCACTTTCACTGTTATATATGTACTCTCTCTTACACTTTCACTCACATATGCACTCTTCTTGGCTTTCCACTTTCATGCACATATGCTCTGTCTCTCTCTCTCTTTTGCACTTTCACTCACTTAGACTAGTATTTCTTTATCTGTCTCTCTATCTCTCTCTCATGCACTGTCACATATATATACACTCCACCCCTCTTTCTGTCACTGATTAGTCAACCCACTTTAGTAACTTACTGGCGACACAAGCTGTCTACTGATGGAGACATAGAGAATGTTTCACAAGCTCCTGTAGATGATCTAATTAATTCTAGCCACCTACATGACCATCTCCTGCACCTTTCAGGTTTCAAACCTTACACTGCCTCCTTGACATTAGCAAATCCACAATGAATGCACAGCACAGCAAAACTGGCATGACTGCGTTAGCACTGGCAGCCAAGTTGGGGCATGCAGAAGCTGTCACTGTTCTGCTGAGGTAGGATTGTGTTTGTTGCTCATACAAGACTCATAGTTGTTGTGTTTATGTGTATGTCTCTCAGATGGGAGATTTTGTATGTTACTCATTCAGGACTCGTAGTTGTTGTGTTTATGTGTATGTCTCTCAGATGGGAGATTTCGTATGTTACTCATTCAGGACTCGTAGTTGTTGTGTTTATGTGTATGTCTCTCAGATGGGAGATTTTGTATGTTACTCATTCAGGACTCGTAGTTGTTGTGTTTATGTGTATGTCTCTCAGATGGGAGATTTTGTATGTTACTCATTCAGGACTCGTAGTTGTTGTGTTTATGTGTACACCTATCAGATGGGGAGACTTTGTACGTTACTTATACAAGAATCATAGCTGTTGTGTTTATATATACATCTCTTATAAAAGAAGATTTTGTGTGTTACCGATTCAAGAATCGTAGTTTTTTTTTTTTTTTTTTTACGTCTCTCAGATGGGGAGATTTTGTATGGTACCCATTCAAGACTTGTAGTCTTGTTTATATGTACGTCTCTCATATGGTGAGATTTTGTATGTTACTCATTCAAGACTCATAGTTGGTTTATATATCTCTCAGAATAAAGAAATCTTGTACGTTAATCATTTATTTCTCAGAATGTCTCATGCATCAAATATCAGAGCCCTGCTGTCTTCTTTTCTTCTGTAAACAAACAAAATGCAGTTACTCAATCCGAAACAAGAATATGGTGCAGGCACGAGAAAGAAGGTTATTCCATCCTGATCTTTCTCAGACTAGGACACACAACTGCCACACTCAAAGAAACATACACAGAGATATACACAGATCAGTCAGGTGCCTATGGCTTGTAGGCATAAATGCACAGGAATAAACAAACAGATAAGCATTCATACAAGCAGGCTGTCTAAATAAAAACCCTAGTCAACACATATACGCAGATAAAAATAAGTTGGCAGACATATATACAAGCAGAATTATCCAGGCAGACACATATACACTGGCATAAATGCCTATGAAAACACATATACATCTAGCTTGCACAAATGCTCACATATACTAGACATACATGTGTTTTCTGATCTGAACCCTATACAGACATAAAGCAGTGCCCACAATTGCAGACATGGCTGGTTACTTGCCACTTCACCACGCTGTGATGAACAACCATGAGAGTGTTGTTGATGTTATACTTGACTTCTATCCAGACACATTTGTGGTAAGTTTATTTTCTAACAGACACATTTGTGGTAAGTTTATTTTCTAACAGACACATTTGTGGTAAGTTTATCTTTCTACATGACACATTTATGGTAAGTTGGTCTTTCAGTCTCAACACATTTGTGATAAGTTGGTCTTTTTATATGGACACATTTGTGGTAATTTTTTGTCTTTCTGTCTGGAGACACATTTGTGGTAAGTTGCGGTTTCTATATGGACACATTTATGGTAATTTTTTTGTCTTTCTGTCTGGAGACACATTTGTGGTAAGTTGCGGTTTCTATATGGACACATTTATGGTAATTTTTTTTTTTTTTTTGTCTTTCTGTCTAGAGACACATCTTTGTTAAGTTGGTCTTTCTATCCAGACGCATTTGTGATTAGTTTTAATATCTTTGCAGACATTTATATGGGGGTTTGTGTTTTTGTCTTCTTTTTCTGCTTCTGACCTTAAAAGGACAGTTGGTACTTTGTGATGGTTAACAGCTAGGCTGTGATATCTGTGCTGTTTGGCCCAAAACATACAATTTATGAAAACCCTTAATTTGTTGTATCTTAAAACATGCTTTTTAAGGGGACAGTAAGTAATTCCTTGTGGTGATGAAGTTGGAAGAATACACTGCAAGAATACACTGCAAGAATACATTGCAAACCTTTTATGATGTTGATTAATGTTGCAATACACTAGTAGTGATTTTTTCTTTCTAGCATAACCTTTGTGGTTTTTGTTGCCAGGGGCTGTACAAAGCCATGCGATTCTGCAAAAGAACCTCCCTGCACACTAAACTCAGGTCAGCTTGGGAAAGGTATGTCAGACTATGGATTGCTCACCAAGTCTCTTTAGAGAGTAGCTGTAGAAGTTCATTTTATGATAGTCTCTGTTTTGAATGTGTTAACTCTTCAGTACCAGCAGTTTTCACACGAGAAGCCAAAGTGATGAATTAACTGTGAGGGAAAAAAGCACAAATGCATTACTTTCCAAGTGGCAGTACACATAATGGTAATTACACTGGAGAAGCCAGATTTCTTTAGTTTGTTGTGACTAAATGTTGAGAGATTATATTATGCTATGCAGAGAAATCAAGGGATGGTGTGTCACACTGTGCTTGCTTGTGACTGAAAGAGTTAATGTGATTGGTCAGTTCAAAGTTCATTGTACCATCTTCTTCTTTGTGTTCACAAGTTGTAAACTTTGGTGAAAATTCCTGGTTGTTTGTCCACTTCTGGACTTTGAAATGTTGTGTACATATTTGTTTTACAGATCTGACTTTTTTTGTGTGCAGACTGTTGCTTTCCTGTCTGTCATACAGATGTACTCCAACATCAATAGAAAATATTGATCCTATCTTTGTTGATCAGGTCCCGGGTTTGTTTCTAGGCTGACTGCAGGCAGGTGGAGACCGGTCTTGACCAGCATGAGCCCTGGCCTTGGTCTACCATCGTCTTCAGCCCATCGGCATTATATTTATTGTATAACATTCAAAAAATGTAGATGTGATATTGTGATTCATCACTTTTAAGTCTGAGTGGTCATTTGTGGGATTGTTAACACCATCGCCCTGGTAACACTAACAGAAATAGGCATGATCCCGTGGAAACTCTAAAAAAAATGCTTTTAAAAACAAGTTTGCGCAGGTCAGAAATAAATTTCTTTGCATGTATCAATTTATGTACCTGTTTTAACCACCCTCTCCCCTCCCCCGGGACCTAAAAATATATGTATTGAATTACTTACACCATATCCCTGTGACCTCTAGCACTGAGGTTTACAGGAAGTAAATGACATCAATTTTGCTTTCAAATTATTTGGTTTGAAGGAAAACCCCATTAAATGTTATTTTAATTATTGTATTCACATCCTAACTTCATAAACATTTGCGCATATGTGAACACAGCCAATAGCATTAACAGTCTTTGTAATCTTAGTTTCAGCTTCATAGCAAACAGGTCACCCTATAGTTTGCTCTACTCCTGTGCCAACGAAAAACACACAGAATGTTTATCACAGTCCCTTGTTGGAAAGATTTACAGACTGCTGTCTCAGCATATGCCATCAGAGGTGCCAACACAAACAGTCCGACATTAGAAATGGAGTTCATCATCGTCGGTAGCAGTAGTTACCAACAGATCAGCAGTTGCACACACGTTCAATTTTAATCACATAAGGGCACCACCAATATCGTGACGACAGGCCATGCGCCATTTTCTGAATCTACAGTTCACAACACCACGTTGGTCACAGTAGAAAAACATTCCAAATGAAATCTTCAGCAACAGTGTCACACCATGCACTAAACAAAGTAGCTGGGCAACGAAACTAGATCCTTTCAGTCCACAGATGGAGCAAAAATTCAACCGCTATAGTCTGGCAGAAAGCCAAAAAAATTGCCACGACTTAAAACAGTGACCGTGCCTAGGGTCCATTTTGAACAGAAGCTTATGATCTTTATCTCTGGTGGTCAAGTGGATAGTGCTCTTCCTTACAGAAACTTTGTTCTGGTTTCAGTCTCCAGATGTAGGAGAATTTTTTTTTTTTAACCCGTAATACACTGAACTCAAGCCAGATTTATGGTTGCAGTAGTTTCCAGAAATGTCTTGGAACTGTCTGGAAAAGACAAGGCGACGAGGAACGAAACTGACTGCCACACCCTGTATGTCGTGGCATTGGGAATTTAAACCCGTAAAACTTCACACACGAACATTTCACGTATCTCCCTGTGGTTCCCGGGGCAAAATAAGAATAGACCCACTGTCTCCCCAATAAGCATGTGGTAGGAGTCGACTAATTGGGGACTTCCTTTGAAGTCAGAGTGCATCTGCCCGAGCGGCAAGGAACAACCAACTGCACACAAATAAGCCAGCAGTAAAATGGATGTGCATGCAAAACTCAGGTCCTGGCACAAAGCCAAAGTCCAATGGACGAACAACCAGGACTTTCTGCCAGAGCTTGAAGCCGGTGAACAAAGAAGAAAGGTCTGTCTCAACCTAATCGTTGTCCTGTTTCATGAGTTGTTCCATTCAGCATCTCTCATTTGGTCAACCTGAAGACCCAGTCAACCTCCCCTAACTACAGAATCATGCCATCATATTTATTGTCTGTTTAAGATGTCCTGCCCAACTTTAACAATCTGTAGCTCAGTCACCATCCGGTTTAAGTTGTTGAAATCCGCTTGCAACAAGCCAATGTACAGACAAGCAGCCATTTGTTCAGTCAGCCAGGCAGATATGTACAAACTGGCATGCTGTACCCAGACATCTTCATATTTTGTAACAATATAGAAAACATCATCATCATTATCAGTTCTCGTTATGCCTAGTGGCACATGAGGCTTCAGAGAGGACTTTCCATGCTTTCCTGTCCTGTGCAATCTTCAGTGCAGTTTTCCATGTCAAAGATGCCACACTCAGGTCACTTTCCATCGTTCGTCTCCATGTTGTTTTTGGGCGCCCCTGTTTTCTCTTTCCCTCTGGTGTCCATGTGAGAGCTGTTTTGGTAGGTATATCAGAAGTATAGAAAAGTGGTGATTTAACTCGTTCAGTCAACATTGGTTCAAAATTTGTCTATGACGTTTGACATCTGCATAGAACAAATTAAGGAAACTAAGAAGTAGGTGATGAAGTCATTGACGAAGTCGACATTGACTTTTAATGTCTAAAGAATATACTGGCTTAGCATACGAAATTAAACTGAGCTGTCAGTCCTATACTAAAACTAATTGTCACTCTCCATCATTATCTCTCTCCCTTTAACATTTAGCGTTAACAGTATGTCTCGTAAGCAGGTAGATGTAGACAAGTCGGACAAGTGACATTTATGGGGAATTGACCCCAACGGGAAGTATCAGGCGTCTCAAGGCAACCAAAAAACAATGTGATTATAAATAGTTCAAAGGTCATTTTCCAACAGTCGAACGCGTGAAACCCCTATTTATGTTAACATTTTCTAAAATATCACTTATGGAGGGTTGATTTGGTCGATGCAAATATGAACCTCTCATATGCCTTTAGCAGCATTGGGGGGAAAAAGGTCCTTTACTGTACTTTTACGATTTTCAAGAAGAATTAATTGTACATGTTAATTATTTCATTACAGACGGCAAGAGGAGATTGTTACACCGAAACTTTTAGGTTGTGCTCTGAATGGAAATGCTGAGGACTTGTTTCTCTTGTTGGATGAAGGAGACAATATTAATCCTAAGGTAACATTGCTCGGTCTTTTTCATTCACACACCTTCAGAGGTCCACTTGAATATATTTAACCTGTTGTGCATAATGAATTATTTCTCTTTAAAGAAAGCAGCTGTCAGCTCAAGGTTGTTAAATCAGGACAGAGTTTCTCTTCACCTGCAGCAGTTGTAGGGGAAATATGTGTCTCTGCTCAACATATGAGCAGTTGCCTAAAACCACAAAATACTGTCTTTGGACCAACTAATACAAATATGAGTTTCATAGAACAACAACAAAATTACTGTCTTTGGACTAACTAACGAATGTATGAGTTGCATAGAACAACAACAAAATTACTGTCTTTGGACCAACTAATAAAAATATGAGTTTCATAGAACAACAACAAAAATACTGTCTTTGGACCAACTAATAAATGTATGAGTTGCATAGAACAACAACAAAAATACTGTCTTTGGACAAACTAATAAATGTATGAGTTGCATAGAACAACAACAAAAATACTGTCTTTGGACAAACTAATAAAAATATGAGTTTCATAGAACAACAACAAAAATACTGTCTTTGGACAAACTAATAAATGTATGAGTTGCATAGAACAACAACAAAAATACTGTCTTTGGACCAACTAATAGAAATATGAGTTTCATAGAACAACAACAAAATTACTGTCTTTGGACAAACTAATAAATGTATGAGTTGCATAGAACAACAACAAAATTACTGTCTTTGGACCAACTAATAAAAATATGAGTTGCATAGAACAACAACAAAATTACTGTCTTTGGACTAACTAACGAATGTATGAGTTGCATAGAACAACAACAAAATACTGTCTTTGGACAAACTAATAAATGTATGAGCTGCATAGGACAACAACAAAATATTGTCTTTGGACTAACAAGTGAACATATGATGGGTTGTAAAGAACCAAAAAATACTGTCTTTGGACTAACAAGTGAAAATATGATGGGTTGTAAAGAACCAAAAAATACTGTCTTTGGACTAACAAGTGAACATATGATGGGTTGTAAAGAACCAAAAAATACTGTCTTTGGACTAACAAGTGAACATATGATGGGTTGTAAAGAACCAAAAAATACTGTCTTTGGACTAACAAGTGAACATATGATGGGTTGTAAAGAACCAAAAAATACTGTCTTTGGACTAACAAGTGAACATATGATGGGTTGTAAAGAACCAAAAAATACTGTCTTTGGACTAACAAGTGAACATATGATGGGTTGTAAAGAACCAAAAAATACTGTCTTTGGACTAACAAGTGAACATATGATGGGTTGTAAAGAACCAAAAAATACTGTCTTTGGACTAACTAATAAATGTATGAGTTGTATAGAACAACAACAAAATATTGTCTTTGGACTAACAAGTGAACATATGATGGGTTGTAAAGAACCAAAAAATACTGTCTTTGGACTAACTAATAAACATAAGAGTTGCTTAGAACAAAAAAAAATAATCTTTTGGACTAACTAATGAACATACGATGAGTTGCATTAAAGTGAAAAATAATGTTTTGGAGCAATTGAGGATTTATGGCTGCAGAGCTAGTGCTGTCATCAAGAACTATTCAGGTTAGGATGTTATGACACATTGCATTGTGGTTTACAGTTAGGCTGTGATATCCACACCTTTTGACCCAATGCATCCAGTTTCAGCAAAAACCTAATTAGTCACCTTTAAGGATATGCTTGTTAGGGAACACCAGGGCTTTGGCGATTATTTAGGAATTGAACCCAGGCCTCCTGCATGAGAGCCCAGTATTGTAATCGCTTGGCCAGCTTCTTCTCTGCTTGGTACAGAAATAGTTGAATTTACATTAAAATTGTAGCTGTGAGATGGTTGATTGTTGCTTTCTTTATTTCAGAGTGGTACAGGAAACTGGCCGTTGTATCTTGCAGTTGAGAATGGTCACCTGGAGGTGTTAAAGCTGCTGTGTGAGGTGGGTGAAGTTTGCATCTATTCTTCTTCTTCCTCTTCACCAACTGTAAACTCCAGCGGAAGGTTCTGGTGTGTCGTCAACTTCTGGACTTTGGTTTAGTTCTCGAACTTGAGTTTTGTGCACACATTTGTTTTAAATGTCGGTGTATGCAGACTGTTGGTTCTTCACCTCTCAGACAGATGCACTGCGGCTTTGAAGGAAACATCCCTAATTCATGCCCACTTACAACATCTGTGTTGAGCAGCAGTAGTGTGTTATTTTTCTTCCCACAAAAGGGTGCCAGATCTAAGCGGGGTGTGACCAGTAAATGCATTTCTGACTCTGGTAATGCACAATGGGTTGTAGTATCTTTGTTTATTTTGTGTCACGGCACATTAGTGTATCAGTGTCTGTATCACTTAAAGGGGTTCATTTAAACCTTTCACCCCAGCAATATTTTTTTTTAATGGGTCATAACCACAGTGGAATTCCAGAAATCTGACTATTTATCTTAACAGGTAACAAAACAGTTATGCAAGTTATATTGTGAGATGTATATTTGTTAAAACTGAGTGTATGGCAGTTTCCAAGAGAGCAGATATTTATACATGCTCTTCATACAGTGAAGACATGGTTCAGTTTCTAAGTCATGGTGCCGCTAGTGAAATGGTTTTCCATAAGCGCTCCATCCCCATGTTCAGCAGCCAGCACAGAGTTCCAATACTAATAGTGCCAGTAGCAGTCTGATTATATGTTCATCTTGCCTTTCCTCTGAGCATTGATTATTGTCCAGATCCACTCGTCATGCTTCACTGTATCACTCTCACCAGACTGGTGATCCATTTGCTCTTCCAAATTGTACATGTTCTCCCGTATGGCCCTGACCACATCTACCATATCGGGCATTAGTATTCCACCAAGTTGTGCAGAGCCGCCCAGTCTGTCCCTCTGTTCATTTCCCAAAATACCAGCATGACCCAGAGGAAAGATCCAGACAGTGCTTTTCATGTGTGTCCTCCGAAGCGAAGCATGCCACTCTGCATGCATGTCTGTCCTCATGCTGTGTATGTGTGTGGGTATGTGTGTGCGGGTGTGCATACACATGCATGTGTGTATGTGGCTCTGGCAGTCTGTATGTCTGTCTGTCATGTTCTCCAGCCAGCGGAAAGCTTTAGGTGAAAGGGTTAACCTCTGATTTCCTAGTAGACTGAATAATTGTGTCACAAAATTATGTTTGTCTACAAAAAGTGGTCACCAACATGAAAAGTTTGGAAAGCTCTGTGCTGGACATTGAACCCTTGGCAAGAAACTGCACCTGGCTTGTTTTTTTTTAGTTTACCTTGTTTTGTGGATTTTTAGAGTTGACCGACCTAAGTGGACCCAACCTAAAATGATTAACATGAAAATTCCTGCAAAATAAGATATTTGACAGAATGTTTTTATCGCCTGTAAAGTGTTGATTAGTCTGTAAAATGAGTCAGCATCATTAGAGACCGCATAATGTTTCTTGACTCCATAAGTGTGTTGCCACAGAAAAAAATACATGTTCTCAGAATTTTAACATTAATTTGTCAGTAAATTCTTTTTCCTTTTTTACCATCTTTTGCTTTAGGACAGTCTCCTAAATTTGATTAAGTTATCATCATTGTTATTAATTAAGTATTTAAAGTGTGTCAAATTTTAAATGTTTCCAGAAAGGTGGTGATATAAAGAAGAGACATCCTACCACTGGAGCCACTTCGTTACACGTAGCTGCAAAAATGGGCCACCAAAGTATTGTTTCCTTTCTGCTACAGCACTGTAGCAATTCTGTGAAGAGTCTTGCAGTCTCCAGCCAGCAGGCGAACAGTCCAGCAGGGGGTTCAGTCTTACAGCAGAATTCTGGACACCCGAAGAAATTGCTGGACATTAATGCTGTTGACAAGGATAATAAAACTGCTTTACTGCTTGCAGCAGAGAAAGGTCAGGCTTGTTATGTCTGTTCCTGTTGTAATTCTTTGTCTTCTTTTTCTTTTGTCTTCTTCTCTTCTTTTCTTTTGTATCTAAGCTTCAAATTACACACAAAATGAACATTAACTACACATCGCACTACATGTTAAATTAAGACTCTACATCACAGCACTTGGGACATGCCCATAAGTGTTCTGTCCTCATCTTCAGCAGCAAGTACAGAGTTTCAGTTCTGATGGCAACAGTAACAGTCTCATTGCATATCCATCTTATCTTTCCCTTGAGCATTAAGCATCAGCCAGCTCCTGTGGTCACTCCTCGCAGCCCTATTCTCCTCACACCTTGTTGATCTTTTTGAACCTCCACACTGTTCATTTGCTCCCATAGCTCATCATGAATCCGTTCACTAAGTGGTGCAGAACCAGCCAGTCTGTCTGGTAGTTCCTTTCCCAACACACTGGCTTGACCTGGAGAAAATATCCAAAAGACACTAACTATCCAGGACCAGGGAAGTGATGCTTGCCACTCTGCACGGAGCATTCCTGTTTCCACGTGTCTCATCATGCTATGTGAGTCAGTTATAATGACTTATGTAAGCAGCCAATTCAGTTATAATTATGACATGAGTGTAGAGCATGTTTTCAAGCCAACAGAAAGCTGCAGTGACTGCCTCCGCCTCCATTCTTCTTCACATTACATAAACACATTATACACCACATAAACACATTGCATCACATGTTGCACACCACATCAGATACAAACACACATTGGCCTATACACATAAAATACCATCTGACATTCATGCATATGCCACCCACCATACTACATACTCAGCATCAGGGTTCGTAGTGGACCGGGAAATCGGGAAATTACCGGGATTTTTTTCGTTGACCTTAAACCGGGATTTTTAGCTTATAAAAGACATTCCAACCTTGAAAAGCCGTGAATTTTGACCGCGGCAATGAAATCGTCAGAAATCCTGTGTTTTTCAGCACAGGCAATTTTGGTGGAGCCATTTGGCTTTTTTGGCCATTTGGCTAGTTTTTGGCTACTTTCGTTGTATGGTCGTTTCAGGTGTGAGGGCAGCTGATTATTAGCTATTTTCAGCCGAAATGGCTTGTTAAAGGCCAGGGGAGGGCGGGCTTTGTTACAGATCATGAATACATGCAGACAGCAGCGGTGTGGCATGGGGCGGGAAGTAGCAGATTCCTTCTCGCGCGCGTGTGTGTGTGCCTTTGTTTCTAGCAAGTGGGGCAGAATGAACAGTTTAAATCGTTTATGGCCGTGGTTTCTAGAAAGGATTACATTGGGAGATGGTGGGGCTCGGTTCAGTTGTATTTATAAATAGAGTCGCCGTGGTGGGGCTAAGCTCGGCCTTTTCTATTAATTAGAGATGGCATTGGGGCTAAGCAAAGTGACTGCAGCTGGATTTCCCAGTTCTATTTTTGGCCTGGATTTATCTTTACAGTGTGTTTGGCGATCAGTATTGTAATTCCCCGAGATTCCCTCTTCTGTTGTCTCACCCCTCTCTCTCTCTCTCTCTTCCCTCCCTCTTTCACTCTTCTACCTATTGCTCCTTCCTTCCCGTCTCCTGCATTGTCTCTAACCCTCCCTTCTGATTTTCATCTTCTTCTCTTTCTCTCTATCTTTCCTTTTACTCTCTCATTTCCTGTCCCCCCTCCCCCTTTTTCCTATTTTATTTCTTGTTTAAATGTTTAGTAAATGTGCGGCTCCATAACTCTTCCTAGCAACTCAAGTACACAGGAAGTGTTTTGGGGGGGGGGGGGGGGCATTCTGTGTGAACATGGTGGATATTTTCTTTTGATGTATTTGTTTTCCTAGCGGCCTTAATCTCTGTCCATCTCCCTTCCCGCCCCCTCACATTTTGTCCTACCTGTTCCTCACTCTCTGCCTGTCTGTGTCACTGCTTTCTTCTTTCTCTTTGTATTTGCCACTCTCCCTCACTCCCCCTCCCCCTCTCTCTCTCTCTCTCTCTTCTTTCTCTTTCATACCTTCAGTTGGTGTAGAAGGTTATGTGTTGCCTAGTGCAGAACATTTCATGTCCACCATTCCCCCTCCCACACATTAAATATATGTGTACTTTTAAAAACACATTTGCCGTCACCCCTCCCCCCTTTTCTCCTCCCACATTGATGACACCTAGGGGAGGGAGTGCACCCCTTCCTGCTACCTTCTTCCCTCTATATCTCATCTTATTTCTTACTCCCTTCTTTCTCTCCCTGTCTCATTCCCACTTTATTTTCTTAAACTTTATTCTCTCACCTCCTCTGTCTCACCCTTACCACCTCAGCCTTCTACACCACTTTCCACCACCTCCTCTCTCCCCTCCTTTCTGTAATTGGAAAACCAGAAATAAAACGAAGTCCACTGCTGCCCTGACCTATTTATGTGTCTGACCTATTTATGTGTGTGGGTAAACTTCTCTATTTTCCATCAGTGGTGGGTTGGGATCCCCTGGACTTTTTTTTCTTCATAAAATGACCTTGGCTCTCAGGTCACCAGCCTTAAGTGTAAGAAATTGAATTATTGTTGTCACACACAGATAGGACAAGCAAGGGGCAGTAGGGGTTAGCACTGTTGTTTTTGGACCAGCCACATTCACATTGGGAGAGGGTAGGAACCGGAAAAGTGGCCTCACTTAGAGATTTCCTAACTCTATTTTTGGCACTAATTGTTCTTACCCCCCCCCCCCCCCACAACCGTGTCTTACCTTTCTTCTCTCACCCCTTCTCTTTCCTTTGATCTTCTACTATTCTCCTTTCTCTCTCCATTCTTCCTCTCTTCCTTTCCTTGCCCTTTCTCCTGTCCCATCTCTTCTTTGTCTCCTCTCCATCCTGTCTTTTCATTTTCTCTAGATTTCCTTACCCGCTCCCCTCTCTCATTCTCTCCCCCCCCCCCCCCCCCCCCATAATTTTTTTTACTGGTTCATCTACGTATTTTTTTGCCCCATAACTATCTTTTCCTAGTGGTTGTGTCCACTACACTTGAAATTGTGTGTGTGTGGGGGGGGGGGGGGGGGGGGGGGGGGGGGGGGGGGGGGGAGAAAGTAGGTGGCTGTTTTTTTTCTTTGATGTATCTTGTCTCCCTTCCTGCCCCTCTCTCTTAATCTGTGTTTGTCACTGCCTTCCTTACCCACCTCTCTCTCTCTCTCTCTTGCTTTATGTCTGTTTGCCTCCCTTCATCACTTCCTCTTTGTATACCTCCCTCCCATTCTCCTGCTCTGCCTTTTTTTCTCTTTCTTTGGTTCTCTCCCTCTGTCTGCTTGCCTCTCTGTGCTGTCCATTTGTCTCTCTCTCTCTCCTTTATGTCTACATCTCTTTCTGCTTGCATCTGCTTCTCACCCTGTCCGTTCTCTCTCCCTCTGTCTCCCTTCTTTCAACTCTTTGTCATATTTTCCTCCTTCCATATCTCTATTTCGTTCCCTTTTTTCTTCTCTTTTTATCTGCCCATCTCTGTATCTGCATTCCCTCTTTCTGTATTTGTCTCCCTCTCTGTCTTTCGCTGTTCCTTCCCCACTTTTCCTCATCATGTCTCCATCCCTCCCTCTCATTTTTTCCTCCTTTCCCAGACTTCTTTTCTCTACCTTCATCTGTCCATCTTTACACTGTCTCTCCCAGCCTACCTCAGCATGTGTCTTCCTCTCTCTTCATGACTCTCTCTCTCCCCTAACCCTCTCAGGTACCAGGTCCAGAACAGACAGGACTTCAGTTTGCTGCCCTCTACCACCAAGCCCTAAAACAAATTTCAAACACTATATCAAGCTTAGGGGCCGACCAGCACGAAGATGGGCACAGGATATAAGTGACTCCTTGAGTATAAAAAAGTACATGAGGCGGGAGAGCTGGTGAGAGACCGAGGTTTTTTTGTCAGGACAAAGGAAATGCTACATGATGATGATATCTGTGCTGGTATACCAACACATGTGGCACAAATGAAGTACCTTGTGTGCTCAGTACACCCTTGAACAAGGCAAAAATCTTGTTTCAGTATTACACCGAGACAACCTTGAAAAAAACTAAGGAGACCTTAAAAAAGACCTTGAAAAGCCTTGAAATTGATTGGTAAATTTGGCTATGAACCCTGTCAGCATGCTACAGATATATGCATACTGCACCACATACCACACAACATTCATACACGCTCTATACAGGCAAAACGTATGCATGTTTTTGTGTAACATATAACATATACATACAGTGTGACACACCAAATACACACATACATACCACATTCCACATCATATATATATAAAAATGGCTTACGCTAAATGGAGTTTTAGTTTACAGTGAAAATACCATTTGGTGGATGTTCTGTCTACCACAAAGAGACCATAAATAAGCTTCTGTGTTCAATCTAAATTTCCATTACTGACCTGTACATTTCAGGTTTCAGCCGAATAGTGGACCTCCTGCTCTCACATGGGGCTACCACCGCATTACTGGACAGAGACGGAAACCTGGTCACCTGTCCTCAGTACGAGGGAGTGAGAATTATGATCGAAAACTTTCGGCAGCAGCACACCCATCAGATTGTCAAAGCCATCGAGGAGAAGTCGAAGAAAGCCCCACCAGTGTTGCCTGCAATCTGGCTGGTAAGGGGAAGTAATTCTTTGTTTGAGAATTGTTTAGCTGAGTGATTTTTTCCTGGGAATTGCGTTGAAGTGTGTCAATAGCTCTTCTCCTGCCTCTTTTTATTATCCTCCAGTTATCTCATTACTGAGATGTTGGGAGAGATGTAAGGATGTTCTATGTGCTCGTTCTAACATGTTGCCTAAGTTGATTCTTCTGTCTGTACTTGATGAAGATTTATCTTTTGCTTGGTTTACACCTAGCTATGTGTTTATTATATTCCTTTAGCTTGGCGTTCTGTTGCAAATGGCACCAGAGCATTCTTGTCAGATGACCGAACCAGCTCATCTGTTGCTCTATCGTAAACTTTATGACAGGTTTCTGCATCACTTGGTGGTGAATTGATGTATGACAAGCTAGATG